AACCCTGAGGGACCAGTCGCCTTGGATATAGGTAAGTAAGCTCGGTTTTAATATTCTCCCTGTTGAATGGCAGTATGATAGAACGCTCCCCCTTATTGTTTATTGTAATTAGAGATTTTCCACTTTGGCTTTAGGAGGCCCGACCTGCATCTGCTTGTGGAATCTTCCTTCATGGGCCGGGAAGATCCTACTCTTGGATAGGCAGCTGCACGCCGTAACAGTAATCAAAGTACTTAGGTATTACTTCTGTAGTTACATTATTGTTTTTTCGTAATAAGTACCTATCTAACAAAAAAAACACCTTTCATTATCCTTCGGTAACTTAAAAAATGGTATATCTGAATCCTTTTGTTTGCTCATTAAGCATCCATCCACGCAATAATTATTATAGTAGGAACGACGTTTTGCCATTATAATTTATCAAAGAGGTAATATACGATATCATCATCATCATCATTACAGCCCTTCACAAGTCCACTGCTGAACATAGGCCTCCCCCAAAGAATGCCACAAAGCACGGTCCCGAGCCACCTGCATCCATCGACTTCCTGCAAATCTTACCAGGTCGTCACTCCATCTAGTGGGGGGACGCCCTACACTTCGCCTGCCGGTACGAGGCTGCCACTCGAGAACCTTTCTTCCCCATCGGTTGTCGGTTCTTCGAGCTATATGGCCGGCCCATTGCCACTTCAGCTTACTAATCCGTTGGGCTATGTCGGTCACTCTGGTTCTACTGCGGATATCCTCATTTCTGAGTTTATCACGCAGAGAAACTCCGAGCATAGCCCTCTCCATAGCTCGCTGAGCGACCTTGAGCTTCCTCATCCGGCCAGCAGTGAAGGACCACGTCTCAGTTCCGTATGTCATCACTGGCAACACGCACTGGGTGTACAGTCTCGTTTTCAAGTTTTGAGGTATACCTGACGAGAAGATGTGCCGTAATTTCCCGAACGCTGCCCAACCGAGTTGAATCCGTCGATTGACCTCTCGGTCGAAGTTGGACTTACCTAGTCGGACTATTTGTCCCAGGTAAACATACTCGTCAACAACTTCGAGCTTAGTGTTCCCAACAACTACCGGCATAGGTGTGACATGGACATTAAACATGATCTTTGTTTTGTCCATGTTCATCTTAAGACCTATCCGTTGGGAAACACTATTGAGGTCATTGAGCATAGTGCTTAGGTCCTCCAGCGATTCTGCCATAAGGACTATATCGTCGGCAAATCGAAGGTGAGTGATGTACTCGCCATTGATGTTGATACCGTATCCTTTCCAGTCCAGAAGCTTGAAAACATCTTCCAATGCAGCGGTGAAGAGTTTCGGGGATATGACGTCACCCTGTCTTACACCTCTCTGCAATTGGATAGGTTTCGTACTCTGGTTCTGTACTCGGATAGCCATCGTAGCCCTACTGTACAAGCACTTCAACACTTCGATATACCGACAGTCAACTTGGCATCGCTGAAGGGACTGCAGCACCGCCCAAATTTCGACGGAATCAAAGGCTTTCTCATAGTCCACATACGCCAGACATAGTGGCAAATTGTACTCCTCGGACTTCTGTACAATTTGCCGAAGGGTATGTATGTGGTCTAAGGTGCTAAAGCCTTTTCGGAAACCGGCTTGTTCGGGAGGCTGGAAGTCGTCAAGTCTGCGCGCGAGACGATTCGTAATGACTCTCGAAAACAGCACGTAGACGCGGCTCAGAAGGGAAATCGGTCTGTAGTTCTTCAAGAGAGCGTTGTCGCCTTTCTTGAAGAACAAGACCACCGCACTTCTGCTCCACGCCTCCGGTGTAATGCCACCATGGAGGACGGAATTAAAGAGCTTCTGAAGGACTTCAAGTACCGGTTTTCCACCCGCTTTCAGAAGCTCCGCTGTAATTCCATCCTGGCCTGGGGCCTTGCCGTTTTTAAGGTGCTGGAGAGCCATTCTAATCTCGCTCAGACTGACGTCCGGGATATCATCGGAATAATGTCGGATAAGACTCGCTCTTGGATCGTTACTCACACTTGCGTGTGGCTCCAACGATGACGTGTACAGCTGCCCATAGAACCTCTCAATCTCACTCAAAATCTCAGGTGCCCCGGAAACGATGCTGCCACATTCGGTCTTCAGCTTTGACAGTTGGCTCTTTCTGGCAGACAGATCTCTGGCAAAGACTTTGGAGCCTTGGTTCCGCTCGATCGCTTCTTCAATACGAGCTGTATTGAAGTTGCGTAAGTCCCGCCGCATGCATTTGGAGATCTGTCTGTTCAGTTGCCTGTATGCTGTCAAATCTGTTGAAGAATGTAGCTTCATCTCCCGTCTAACAGCCATGAGATTAAGAGTGTGATCGGAGAGTTTTTGTGTTCTTCTGCGGCGGGTCTTGCAGAACTTAGCTCCGACCGCATGGACAGTTTCCACGAGCTTGTCATTCAAATCGTCCACTTCATTGCAGTCTTCTAGGCACTGAAAACGGTTTTGCAACTCGAGCTGAAAGGTTTCGGGACTTTGGATTAGAGCACGAGGGGGACGGAGCGTTGACTTCATTAGACGAGACCTCTCCAACTTAACGTTTAGGTTCAGTGTGCCTCTAACCATTCGGTGATCGCTGCCGGTTTTCACCCTCGCGATCACTGAGACATCACTGAACAGTTGTCGTCTGGTCGTCATAATGAAGTCAATCTCATTTTTTGTCGAACCGTCGGGGCTCGACCAGGTCCACTTCCTGTGGGGCCGCTTCTGGAAGAAAGAGTTCATCATAAAGAGTCCCTCTTTCTCCATGAAGTCGGCCAACTGCTGGCCCCTTGGGTTCCGTTGCCCTATTCCAAATTTCCCCACTTTCAGCTCACCGTTCTCTCTTGTGCCTAGTTTTGCATTGAAGTCTCCCATTAACACCGTATATTGGGTTTTGGAGGAATGCATGGCTCTAGAGATATCCTCATACATTTCCTCCACCTCCTGATCGGGGTGTGCCGAGGTTGGTGCGTAAACCTGTATGACCTTCAGCGAATACCGTTTGGTGATTCTGAGTATAAGGTACGCAACCCTCGTCGACACACTCTCAATCTTTACAACGTTGTTAACGAGAGACTTGTGGACGATAAATCCGACACCTCCTTGGGACAGATGGTCGCCCTCCCGGTGATAGAGCAAGTTGCCGGATTCAAGGATTACCGTGTCCTCCCCCTCTCTTCGGACTTCGGATAATCCTATAATATGCCAGCGTAACTTGTCTATCTCTTCTTCCAGCTCCACAATCTTCTCGTCAGTCCTCAGGGTGCGTGCGTTGTATGTTGCCAGGTCGAGTCGTTGTAGGTGGCAACCGAACCTCCACCGGAGATTCTTAGCACCCCCTGCCCCGCCGTTACCATGGTCGCCACCGTAGCCAGGAATAGCGGGGCCGCCGGGGACTGGGGGCCGTCTCTTCGTAACCTTCATTATGGGGGGTATATTGCCATAGTTGCCACGCTTGGCGAGCGGGTTGGCAACCGCAGTTTTTTATTGTATTTTGTCGTTACCAGGAAGATGCTGCTGCCCATCTCCTGCCTGTTTCCCTTTGTCGCCTTTTACGACACCCACGGGAAGATATGGGGTAGTGGATATTCTTAACCGCCACTACACGGCACTATACGATATATATTATTTTTAAATTACATTAAAACTTTTTCAACTATTTTATCTTACAATTAAATGTACTAAACACTAAACAAAAACTATTTCAACAAGTATTTACAAAAAACTATTTATGTAAAGAGCGTAAAAAAAATTAACATTCAATAACATAGAACGTGCTAGCCCCGAATGCGTATGTAGCCCGGAGCGCCTTGTGATTGTAGGTAATTATTTCACACAGGTAGCAAGAGTGATAGAGGCCTGCTTACGTATAAGAAATAAGGACTATGGAATTGCGGATTTTTTTATATGGAAGAAAGATTTATTTATTATATGTTTTATCATATTTTTGTAGCACTTGGTATTTACGTATCACTAACCATTACGCCAGCGCATGCTGATTAAGCAGTTTGGAAGCGCTTTTTCTTCCGACTTGCTTATATGCTTGCGTATGTTACCCATGTAGCAAGAGTGACAGAGGCCTGTCTAGTCAAAACGCCGAATTGAACTACAAAATATAAAAACTATGGCGCCGGGCTTTATAGGACCAATAAACAGATATTACTTTCAAATTGTTTAATAAGCTAATTTGAGCAATGTCCTTTTGAGCAATGTCCTTTTTCCAAATTTTTTCCACCCATCTTTATTAGAAATCTTTTAAATAGGGTATTTTAATGGTCACTGTTTTTTTTATATACTTATGATTCAAAACTCTTATCTACACTCCTCGTGAGAAAAGAGTACTCTCAATATGCTTTAGTTTTTTTTTAGTTTAATGATACGATGTTTGTTACTTTTAGAATATTCATGCAAATTTTGAATTAAATCTAGAATGGCAAAAGAAATAAAAGCATTTTTATTAATAAATATCGTTTATTTACATCATAACACCCCACAAATCGTCATGCATGAATACTTATACCAAATATAAAAAATAGACAGTCTTAATCGGTTTCAAAGTAACTTAACGCTACATAGTTTGTAGACGGCTTAACGATGACGGTTCGGCGGATTTACGAATGTAAGCGAATGTATGTTTTAGTTAATGGAGAGTTGTCCAGGTATTTCATTCTCATAAATGAGTCGATTTGAGCCGATGAGGGCTAATAGTCTTCCGCTCACTAGATGTCGCCAGTCAGGACCGAGATGAAGTTATCTGTTACAAAATATTAGCAAAATCAAGAAGCTACGTTTATAATAAAAGTTCATTGGTTTCTAGAGTATGTAAATACATAAAACAATGCTTCTGTGGTTTATCAACTCAAACACATTTATCAACTCTCTTTTCAATTCTTCTACTTTTAGAAATATCCACCGTTGTTTCTCATCCGCCTGAGCATTGCTATGTGGAAATAAAACTATGAAAAGAAATGCAAGAACGACAGGCGCCAAGTGGGCCTTTACAGTTCGTCGTGGTCGTCGGCGGGTGCTTCGGCGTCGGCTTCAGCCTCGGCCTCAGCGTCGGCCTCGGCGTCGGCATCAAGCTCGTCCTCATCTGGACGTGCGTCCGGCGGCAGGCCCAGCGCCTGCTGCAGCATGTCCTCCACAGACTCTGCGAACTCCACGGCTTGCCCCTCCTGCGGACCAATAAATTGTCACTTTTTCCCTCTGCTTAAAATATTGCCTTTGTCTTCGTCCGTGTGGAATTTATTACGATTAGATTTCATGAGTTATAATTTTTTGACACGGTGCCTTGTTTTCTCAAATAAAAGTTCAACAGGAGGATGGTTGTGGTAGTGGTGATGGTGGTGGTGGTGGTGGTGCGTACCTGCAGCATGTAGCCGGAGCGCAGCGCGGCGGAGCGGTGCAGAGTGAGCGCAGCACGCAGCAGCTGCGGGTCGTCCGGGTCGGCCTGCACGCGCCGCAGCAGCTCCAGCACGACGGGGTGCCGCGGGTTGATCTCCAGCATCTTCTTCTGCGACAGGTGGTGCTTGCGCGCCGCGTCGTCCGCCTGCACGCACAAGCACACGTTATCTAATGCCAAGCTCCTCCCTCACACTGTTCTGTCACACAATCAAACCGCAGATGCGTTATCACCCTTGAACACAAAGATGAAATGCCTCGTTTCCAGTTGTTTTTTTTTATAGAAGAGGGGGCAAACGAGCATGCGGCTCACCTGATGGTAAGTGACTACCGCCGCCCACGAACAACCGCAATACCAGGGGAACTGCAGATGCGTTGCCGGCATTTTAAAAAGGAGTAGGCTCTTTTCTTGAAGGTCCCTAAGTCGTATCGGAAAAATCGCCGGTGGTAAACTATTCCACAAGGAAGTTGTGCGAGGAAGAAAACATCTTCTAAATCGCATAGTGGTGAACCGCCAATCATACAGATGGTGTGGATGGTATCGGGAGTTCTGCCGCGATGTGCGTTCGTAAAATTTGGCGGCTGGGATTAATCCGAACAATTCCTCAGAGCACTCCCCGTGGTAAATGCGAAATGAAATGCAAAGAGATGCAACATCTCTTCGCAGCGCCAATGAGTCGAGCCGATCGGAAAGCACTCAGTCGTCGACGATTCGAGCCGCTCTGCGCTGGATGCGATCAAGTGGAAGGAGCTGGCACTGGGGAGCTCCTGCCCAGAGATGGGAACAGTATTCCATGTGAGGCCGAACCTGCGCCTTGTAGAGTTGCAGTCGTTGTGCCGGCATGAAATACTGTCCAGCTCTGCTGAGCACGCCAAGCTTTTTAGAGACCACTTTGGCCTTCTCTTCCAAGTGACCACGAAACTGCGTCACGCGATATGTCGACGCCAAGGATTCCGATACTGGCTAAAGCAACAAGGGGAGTACCTTGAAACTGAGGAGATACGATAAAGGGGTTCTTTTTAGCGGTAAACGCGCAAACTTGTGTCTTCTGAGGATTAAACTGGACTAGATTTAGTCGCCCCCAATCCGAGACTTTGTCCAACAAAGACTCGACTTCAGATACAAATTTGTTTCGGTACTCAACGACGTTCCTACTTCCAGTTTGCTATTCCTGCTACTGCTTAGTATTTTTAATAGAAAAACCCAATAACTGATTGTTCACGCCCGAACGCTGGTTTCGGAATTTGACGCCACAGGGCGCTCGGCTCGGCGCCATACCGGTTTTGACGTTCGGTCGAGCGGTGTGGCGAGGGCGCGCGAGCGCAGGAGTCGTTTGCCAGCTGTGCTTGGGACAACACGCTGTGTCTAACTCAGAATCTGTATAAGGGTATTCGACAATATTAGCTACTACTGCGGCATTAGATATTCTAGAAATAATTGTTGCCACGCGAAACGGTAGTGAACTTTGATCCGGACACTCGTGTTCGTGCGGTGTGTTACGTTTTTGCTTATAGTAACGGGATTTCGTATAGACCGACATTCTGTATTTGTGTTGGATGTTACGCTTTATAACAAATTAGAGTTAGTGGCTTCTGGAAGTTAGTTAATTGTGCGAAAAAGTTAAGGACTGTCCTCGTGACGAACGAAGAAAGTGACTGTGGACGACTACGCGGAAGATTACCACAATTTGGAGCGGTGTTGAAGTCCGAGCTGCTGCCGACGGCAACGGTCTCATAAGGTCTACCACACTCAGTCACACACAGATACACATCACTGACCCTGACTTCCCATGCACCAAACAACCACATGCGACCTGACCGAACCCTGAGGGACCAGTCGCCTCGTATATAGGTAGGTAAGCTCGGTTTTAATATTCTCCCTGTTGAATGGCAGTAGGATAGAACGCTCCCCCTTATTGTTTATTGTAATTAGAGATTTTCCACTTTGGCTTTAGGAGGCCCGACCTGCATCTGCTTGTGGGATCTTCCTTCATGGGCTGGGAAGATCCTACTCTTGGATAGGCAGCTGTACGCCGTAACACTGATATTAATCTGTCTCAAAATTCGAATCTACGATCGAGACCACAACATGATTACAACTACTAAGCCATACAGGTAATCAAACATATACCCGCTCACACTCTCTCACGCGCGCACAAACACACACATGCACACACCCACACACACGCGCGCACACTCACACGCGCGCACACTCAAACGCACGCACACACACACGCACACACACACACACACACACACACATGCACACACGCGCGCCCTCACACACACACGCACACGCACACACACACATGCACACACACGCGCGCCCACTCACACGCACTAACACACACACACACATGCACACACACCCACACACACGCGCGCACACTCACACGCACGCACACACACACACACACATGTACACACACCCACACACTCACACGCACGCGCACACTCACACACACATGCACACACACCCACACACGCGCGCACACTCACACGAACGAACACACACACACACACACACACACACACACACACACACATACATGCACACACACCCACACAAGCGCGCGCACACTCACACACACGCACACACACACACACACACACACACACACACACACACACATGCACACACACCCAAACACACGCGCGCACACTCGCACGCACGCACACACATACACACACACACACACACATACATGCACACACACCCACACACGCACGCACGCCCGCACGCTTTCAAGCACGCACACACACACACACACACATTAGCATTGGCATTTCCAACCTAATACTAGAATAATTAATATTAAAATTTTTAATTATTCTTCAATATAAATTATTAAGAATAACTCAAAAATTATTGGTCAGACCTTGATCAAATTTATATGGGATCACATGAGAAGCACCAGCTTTCAATTAAAAAAGAATCATCGAAATCGGTTTACCCAGTAAAAAGTTATGAGATAACACACACAAAAAAACATACAGTCGAATTGAGCACCGTCTCCTTTTTGAAGTAGGAAAAAAACAAGAGTCCGGAAGCAGATCACTCTTTTTGATTCACAGAACATCATCAATATAAGAGTGTTATGTACGTAACAAGTCAATTTCAAAACTTAAAATATCTGAAATTGCTTTTTTTTACTTATATTAAGCCCATGCTTGACTACAATCCCACCTGGTGGTAAGTGGTGATGTAGCCTTAGATGGTAAATCGCACTGTCTTATCGTAACAAAAGCCTATTCAGTCTTGCCTTGAAGACGACGCCCAGATTGTATTCGGACGGAAATATGGACTCCGGCAAATTATTGCACTCCTTTGCTGTACGCATTAGAAAAGACGAAGCAAACTGTTTGGTTCTAATGCGTGGGATATCTAAACAAAGGGATGAAGACCCGCCGAACGTCTGATTGTCCGATGGTGGAAAGGAGAAGGAGGAATTAAAGCGTTTAATTCCTGCGCACACTCACCGAAATGCATCCTATAGAATACCGAGAGACAGGCTACTCTGCACTTGTGCTCGAGGCTGACAAGATTGGTTTCAACCAAATCAAGGTCACCAATGAGCCTCTTAGCACGTCTCTCCACTGAGTCCAATGCTGTCAGGTGGCATTTTGTAGCACGAGCCCATATGTGACAGCAGTACTCCATGCACGACCGGACTTGCGCTTTATATAAAGTAAGAAGCTGCTCCGGCGTGAATTATCGCCGCACCCTTGCAAGAACACCAAGTTTCCTTGCGGCTGCTTTGGCTCTGGACTCAATGAACCGCCCATAGTTTAGGTTCGGAGAAAATTCAATCCCTAACAACTGAAGGCGGTCAGTGTACTCCAAGGATACATTCCAGAAAGTAGGAGCCAAGGTGAGCGGGCTCCTTTTAGCGGTAAAAAGACACCACTGTGTTTTGGAGGCGTTAAATCTTACGAGATTGGCATCACCCCATTCGGAGACTGCTTGTAGTGTGAGACTCACACGCTCAAATATAGCCTCTCTTTCTGACTGGTTTTGATCCCGACTGGCCCGGCCACTTAGAGGTATCTTTCCACAACTGTGCTGTCGTATGCATATCCATAGATACCGGGAATAAGCAGATCATTTATATGCAGCAGGAAGAGAGTGAGACAAGCAGTCCACTCGTGCTCGTAGAAAATTATTTTGTAATAATGCTGAATACCCTCACTTTCAAATTTATAAGTAATATGAATATTATCTTATTATTAACATTATTTTTTATCAGATACCAAATGTGATTGCAAAGTTACGCTAACTTTATTTAATATTTGTAAAATTAATAATATTTCCAGTATTCTTATATATAAAGAAAGAAAAACTTAGCGCTGCGTACGTTTCAAGGGATGTAAAGTCCATCCTAAAACCATGGTTACCTTATTGTATGAACATGCACTCACGTATATGTATGGATCTAATATCATTTACAACCATCAAAATGGTTTTAGTTGTGTCTATGTGTATACCCATTAGTAAACTTTTACTGTTTTTGATAAAGAAAAAAGATGTATGCGAGAATGCAAGTTAAGAAGTTAAGCAAGGTTTCAGCTGCATTTAAAATGTACGCAGCGCTCAGTTTTTCTTTTTTTTTTGTTGGTCTGAGCAAGTATCAAGTTTAGTTAGGTATAGTATATAATATATATAGCGGAAAACTGTTTCTATGTGGGTATGTGTAAGTCAGCTTGCAATTCGAATATTTAAATATGAGTACGTCAAAAATGTAAGTATGTCCGTTAATGTGTAGTGTTTGCGTAAATATAAGAAATCATTACGGATGACATAAGTCAATCTATTAATTAAAGCATGCAGTGGGCTTGTGGTGTAGCAGTGTGGCGGCGGCGCGTACCTTCTGGTGCGCGTTGGACAGCGCCAGGCGCTCCATGTTGCCGGTCCAGCCGAACACCGTGGCCACGAGCGCGGCGGGCGAGCGGGCCAGCCTGCGCGAGACCGTGGCGCGCGTCACCCAGGCGCCCAGCTTGTCGCCCAGCCAGCGCGTCAGCGGCTCGAACTGCTTCTTCTGCTCCTCCAGCCTCTCCTTCTGCGCCTCGCCTGCCGCACGACCACACAACAATACACTATATTACATTTTTAATTATTTATACTGTCAACTCTGGATAAACAAATTTCAAAACAAATACTAAAAATGTCGAGTTAATATACAAAGTACAAACTATAGAACATTCCTTTTGCCTTTTATTGCTGAATCCAGAGAACCAAGTATTATTAATATCGTAGTACTTCAATAACTTCAAATAAGACTACTTTTTAAAATTCAAGTTATAGAGTATAAATATGTACTGTTTGACAATACATATACTCTATATATATATATATTATATATAAATCTATATACCTCGTTCGGAAATAACATTTTGTTCGAGTTGCAAGAATGAAATATTTCGAAATACCATGAGTTTAATTAAAGGTTCAGCAGAAGAAAATAGCAATTTTTTCGTCTTATCGAGAATTGTAACTTAACAACATTCAAGTTATGGAGATTCCACTGCATAATACCACTCATTCCAAATATACCTCTGTCCTAACAAGAACAAAAACACCCTTACAATATTATTACAAAACAAAATTTATTCATAGATTCTAGTCTCTAGTTTAAAACGAACGTCGAATGTCATCTTAGCTAATTCTGCTGGCCTTACATTGTGAAACAAAAAAGTTAAAATAATTAAAATAAATCAATCCAAATAAAATTTGTGGAACTTCTGATGAAAATTTTAACTCTGCTTAGAGATAAAATGAAAAAAGGAAAACAGTGGAATCAACAAGATTCAATTCCTCCAATTTAAGAACACATACACTGCCAGCCAAAAGTTTAAGACCACACTTAAACATCATAATTATCAATAAATTGTAACGAAATCCCATAAAATAAATAAAAAAATGTACACCTGCATATTCTATTGTTAATATCGAATATCTAAAGAAGTCATTCTTTTATTGACTACAGTAAAAAGGAGACTGAAAGATGCGAATTTATATGGTCGTGTCGCCGTTCGAAAACTTCTGCTAAAGCCACAAAACAAGAAAAAACGAATACAATGAGTCCTTTTCCATCGAGATTGGACTGAAGAAGATTTTAAAAAGGTTCTTTAGACCGACGAATCCAAGTATGAGCTATTCGGTTCAAAACAAAGAATTTACGTTCGAGGCAGTGACCAAGAAAAGATGATGCCAGACCGTGTAGTCCCAACAAACAAGCATGGTGGTGGCTCAATTATAGTCTGGGTTTAGTTTTCTAGCCAAGGAACTGGCGATTTGATCAAAATTGACGGAATTATGAGAGTACAAAAAAAATTTAGAACAAAATGCCGTTCCTTCCGGGTTGCGATTGATTGGAGATGGATTCATTTTCCAACAGGACAATGACCCTAAGCATAGTTGAAAATTATGCAGAAGATATTTGGAAGAGAAAGAGGCACAAGGGATGTTAAAAACATGGTTTGGGCCCCTATCGTGCATTCAGAAATCCGTATACATATACCCTCTTCTGGCCTTAAAATATCAAAAATCTTCCAAATTAGATTAGATAAAAAACTCACAATTTTATAAGTAACAACACCATAACACACACGAATTTGATACTTATTCACTCGCATATAATATTAATAAACCGAAACAAACTTCACTTCTATTTTTTCAAATTAAAAATCTAAGCAATCTCTATTGTTCATATACCGTCCGTACCGTCAATTTTATCAAAATTGTTATAATTAAAAAAAAATGTAATATTAATCTCATTACACAACTGCTTCAATAACACTGGGTTGCAACTGATATTGAATCTACATAGGAAAACCAGAAAAAAGAAGCAAAACCCAAAAGCTCACCCCACTAAACTACAATCCTATACTCACGAAACGCAAAAATACCGAGGGGTATGTAATATCTATATCATCCACACAAGATCAACATCTTAATTCAATAATGTCATTACGGGAAAAACAATGACCATACACTATCATTTTTAGTTTTTATAGTAACTAATTCAAACTTTAATAATAATAATAAACGTTTATTTCGAACATCATGATCCATATGAGTCAGTAACAATTGAGCTTATAACTAAAGTTAGTAATTTAATTAATGCACCTAATAATAAATTCTGGAAAATTCTGGTAGTGAATTATGGTAAATTCGCTTCAAAAGCCCTGAAATTAAGTAAGAATAAACTGTATATTCTGGCAAGAGCCCGGACTAAACATTGTTGTTTAAAAAAGCACATGTCCATCTTAAAACTAAGCAACTCAAACATGTGCCGATTCTATTCTTTAACGGAAGAAACACCTCTGCATATTATCCTAACCGATTATGGACCATTAATGCCCAAATGTAACTCATCTGGGAAACTACGTAGTTAGCTCAGAAGAAGTGAAATTGCTCACGCTTTCAATTCATTGAAGGTATAGGGTTTAGCAAAAAAGTATAGCCATAGCAACGATAACAAAAGATCTTACTGATTCGTCGACGTTTTAAATGACCTGCATAGCTACTAAAAAATAACTAATTCAAAAACATATAAAAAAAGAATAATAGGGCGATTTATTGAAAAACTTACTCTCTTCAAGATCGAAGATTTCCTTAGCAATGTTCTGGAACTTCTTGCCTTCGTACTCGGGTAATGAGGACAGGCAGTACTCGTCCACAGCCTCGGTCAGGTACAACACCTCGTAGCCGGCTCGTACCAGCCGCTCCGCGAACGGGGACTTCTCCACCTGTACCAAGTAATAAGCAAACTTTATATCATTTGACCACACACACGTGCTAGAGACGTGTTAAAATAAAACTAGTGGAATAAGTTATTAGCAAGTCTTTTCATTTGATTACGATGTGGGTTTTCTTTAAGGCAAGAGTGAATAGGTTTTGTTAAGTCAATGCACTGTGCCATCTTTAGCTGCATCTTCAATTAACATCAGGTGGGATAATACTAGTGTCCGACCAAACTTCAGTTTCTTCAAAAAAAAAGAAACCACTTTTTATCATCTTCAAAATTACCTTTTACATTATATTGTCAACAAAAAAGCCTATCATTTATATTATTAATTTAATCCAATCTTGAAATTAATTTTTTAGGGTTTTTAAGGCTACGGCTTCGGCCGACAGTTGGGCGATAGCCGATTAATCTATTTGCGCTACGGCTTTGGCCAGATATCGACTTTTGCTACACTGGATAATAGTTAGGCGCTGGCTTGGAATAGTAAAACAAAACAAAGATAGTGATGCTTGCAGTGCAGACGTACCTCTGCACGGCTGGAGCCTGCGATGTAGTAGATGTGCGACTGGGAGGGTTTCATGCGCGCCACGTAGTCCGCCAGGAAGGTCATGTCTTGCGAACGCGACGAGTGGAAGCGCAGCAGCTTGGCCAGCCGAGATCGGTTGCTCGGGTCCTCCATCACTCCCAGCTTGATGCTACAAACACACATTGTTACCCACACTGGTATCTCGTCACACTTGTGCATATATATATTACAGGAAAGGGGGTAACCGAGCATATGGCTCACCTGTAGTAAATGACTACCGCCGCCCATAAGCAACCACAACACCAGGCAAATTGCTGGTGTGTTGCAGGCCTTTTAGAAAGGAGTAAGCTCTTTTCTTGAAGGTCCCTAAGTCGTATCGGTTCGTAAAAATTGCCGGTGGTAAACGATTCCATTATGGTAGAGCCATGTTGCAACTATACAATATGTAATAAAAACCTTGTGGTTCCTCTAAAGTATGTAATCAGAATCGGTATTCAAACATATAGAAATAACTTTATTTCAGAAAACTCAACCATAAGTATTAAATTAAATTTAAATAAATTTTTATTAGCAAATTGTATGTGGTTTTAATACCTATACATTGGACATGAGAGTATTGTCAAAGACCTTACTATACATATAATTTAAATAAAAATTTATTTAAATTCAATTTAATTGTTTTTGGTTAAATTTTCTGAAATAAATTTATTTCTATATCTTTGAATACTAATTCCGATAACGCACTCAACGGGAAACACTGGATTGGGGTACAGATGTTGTATAGCTTAGCAAAAATGGGTCGACTCGACCGGGGAAGCAACACACTCATAATACCAGCGCAAAACAGCAGCATAATGCAGCTGTCTCGTATGGTGAGTGTAAAGAACCAAAGACCCTTTTTACTGGGATTTGATGAGAGGCATTCCATCTAGTTGGGTAAAGCAACTACATTTTTATTCTTAATTGGGGATCGATGTAGATGTTTATGGGCCACAGCATCCACTCACCATCAGGTGGAATCTGTGCTCATTTGTCAAGCTTATTCTATAAAAAAGAATCACTACATTACATCAGATTCTTCTATCTCATGAAATTCGTAACCTAGATATCATGAAGTAGAAAAAAGTAACAGAGTAAAATTTTAAGTGCTAATGGTTCAATTATTTTGTCGAATGTTTTTCCCATACTATATTAAAGATAGATGCTTGACTTGCACCCTCATACTAAAATATGAGTAGATTTCATCAAAATCATCACCTACTGGACAGACGCCTTTCAATAATGAAACATGTGAAAAGTGTTGCATATTGCAAAGAGCAATTAATTCTCTTGTAACAACTGCAATTATGATAATGAACGAAGTCAGCCGCCACAAACTGGTACTTACAACAGTGTCACTAATAAGTATTATATTAGTATACTATATTTCTGACAATCAGTAAAAAATAATATTTTATACAAATGAAAAACAAACAGTATTTAAGTAAAAAAAAAATAACAATGAAATACCCTAGCCTGAGGTCTAAAAGGACAGAAACTTACTTGGTGGAGTATTCTTTCCAGAAGTGTTCATATTCATCATCGGGGATCTTTTTGAGCATATCCAAAGCTTTACGCACAAGTTTCTTTTTGATTATTTTGATGAGTTTGTGTTGCTGTAGAGTTTCACGGCTGACATTCAGTGGCAGATCGTCAGAGTCCACAATACCCTGTTGGAATTAAATTCGCAAATAATTGAACTCTTGAGATTTAATAAAAAGAGTTCTTTATATTATGAATAAAATAATTCATAAATATGTGATTTGTCAACCTTTTAATACAAATTATGGCTGCATAAATTGTATTAAAAAGTTGACAACTCTTTTAATGAAGATTATATTTAATGATTATTGCATAGATATCTATTTTTGCATTTTTAATGAAGTAAGTTTTCAAATATGGTTTAAAATAAGAAATTGCTAGATTTACTTTTAATTTAACTGTGATATGAATTGTCAGAGTCAGTTTGAAATTTTTATATTTATGTAAAGAACAATGGCAGACTTTCATACATAAAATTAGTTGAGAAGGAATGGTAGCGTCTATATATCAAAAATATCTTAAAATGTTAAGCGTCACTCCCTTAATAACTCTGTCAAAGTATTTTGTCCTGAGAAGGCGTCAAAAAAAAGATATTTAGATTTGAACCTTTTTAGGTTATGTCTTGTCGCTTGAAAAAAGTCATGCGTCCTGTCGTTATTTGATGTTAGCTTAATAAATTCTCAACATAATGTACCCACCTACATAGTTGAGAGTGTTTAGATTATTGTATCTCTATTATATATTTGCATAATATAAATGTTTATTTCTGGCATAGCTCCAGGGCCTTTGTGTCATACAATGACATTCTCAGAAGGGCTAGAACCCAGAGCCGTAAAGCCAGTAAAAAAAAACCAGTGACATTTTGTTTTAGCTAGTGCTGCTATAATATTAAATGAAATTGTTACAAAGTACTATGAGATAATTTATTATTGTAGGAAGTTCTTTGTAAGAGACTTATTTTCAACCATATCACTTTTATTACTGATAGTATAGTTATTACTGATAATAACTTAATATAAAAATATTTTGTGTTTGTGTGTTGTGTTGGTAGTCTTACAAAGTTATACGAAAATAATGTAAATATAGTAAATGGCAACACTTGAATAGAGTAAAATGATTTAAGTCATTTGATATTCCCAAAAATGCTTTTTTTGTGGCTTTATTTAAAATACATTTTTATTTGAAAAATCATAGAAAAATAATAACACTCATTTTATATATAACTTATTTCTAGACGCAATAATTTTTGTCAACTATTTTTCTGCCATTGCTCTTTAAGTGTATGGTTATAATATAATTTGTTATGATGTATGTGTGAGGTGGTGGTTACCTGTATGAAGGCCAGGTAGTTGGGCATGAGGTCGTTGAACTCGTCGGTGATGAAGACCCTGCGCACGTAGAGCTTGATGTGATCAGTCTTGGTGCCGTAGCGGTTGAAGCTGTCGGCCGGCTGCACGCGCGGCACGAACAGCAGCGCGCGGAACGTCACCTCGCCCTCCGCCACGAAGTGCGCCCTGCATCATCACCGCATACCATATACTTCATCACTCATCACCAAGCACTTTTATCTATACTACTACTGCACGTGCGGCACGAACAGCAGCGTGCGGAACGTCACCTCGCCCTCCGCCACGAAGTGCGCCCTGCATCATCACCGCATACCATATACTTCATCACTCATCACCAAGCACTTTTATCTATACTACTACTGCACGCGCGGCACGAACAGCAGCGCGCGGAACGTCACCTCGCCCTCCGCCACGAAGTGCGCCCTGCATCATCACCGCATACCATATACTTCATCACTCATCACCAAGCACTTTTATCTATACTACTACTGCACGCGCGGCACGAACAGCAGCGCGCGGAACGTCACCTCGCCCTCCGCCACGAAGTGCGCCCTGCATCATCACCGCATAACATATACTTCATCACTCATCACCAAGCACTTTTATCTATACTACTACTGCACGCGCGGCACGAACAGCAGTGCGCGGAACGTCACCTCGCCCTCCGCCACGAAGTGCGCCCTGCATCATCACCGCATACCATATACTTCATCACTCATCACCAAGCACTTTTATCTATACTACTACTGCACGCGCGGCACGAACAGCAGCGCACGGAACGTCACCTCGCCCTCCGCCACGAAGTGCGCCCTGCATCATCACCGCATACATATACTTCACCACTCATCACCAAGCACTTCTATCTATACTACTACTGCACGCGCGGCACGAACAGCAGCGCGCGGAACGTCACCTCGCCCTCCGCCACGAAGTGCGCCCTGCATCATCACCGCATACATATACTTCATCACTCATCACCAAGCACTTCTATCTATACTACTACTGCACGCGCGGCACGAACAGCAGCGCGCGGAACGTCACCTCGCCCTCCGCCACGAAGTGCGCCCTGCATCATCACCGCATACATATACTTCATCACTCATCACCAAGCACTTCTATCTATACTACTACTGCACGCGCGGCACGAACAGCAGCGCGCGGAACGTCACCTCGCCCTCCGCCACGAAGTGCGCCCTGCATCATCACCGCATACATATACTTCATCACTCATCACCAAGCACTTCTATCTATACTACTACTGCACGCGCGGCACGAACAGCAGCGCGCGGAACGTCACCTCGCCCTCCGCCACGAAGTGCGCCCTGCATCATCACCGCATACATATACTTCATCACTCATCACCAAGCACTTCTATCTATACTACTACTGCACGCGCGGCACGAACAGCAGCGCGCGGAACGTCACCTCGCCCTCCGCCACGAAGTGCGCCCTGCATCATCACCGCATACATATACTTCATCACTCATCACCAAGCACTTCTATCTATACTACTACTGCACGCGCGGCACGAACAGCAGCGCGCGGAACGTCACCTCGCCCTCCGACACGAAGTGCGCCCTGCATCATCACCGCATACATATACTTCATCACTCATCACCAAGCACTTCTATCTATACTACTACTGCACGCGCGGCACGAACAGCAGCGCGCGGAACGTCACCTCGCCCTCCGCCACGAAGTGCGCCCTGCATCATCACCGCATACATATACTTCATCACTCATCACCAAGCACTTCTATCTATACTACTACTGCACGCGCGGCACGAACAGCAGCGCGCGGAACGTCACCTCGCCCTCCGCCACGAAGTGCGCCCTGCATCATCACCGCATATCATATACTTCATCACTTATAACTTAAAATTAACAAAAAATTGCCAGCTGCACTCCGAAGTCCGCAAGTAGGCGGTCGCTTGATCTCTGTCCAGTCGTGTCGGAAGAGTGAGGGAGTAGGAAGTGCACCTGTGCTTGCGTATACTTCGGGCACTGTAATCCTGTCCTGCGCTGACGGCTAGTCTCCGTTGAGACTGGCCGCTGTGGCCGATATTCGCTCTGGAGACGATTACTAGAGAGGTTGTAGTGTTATGCTACTTACATATCATTTTACATTATTTTAAATTCATTTTTTCATTCTGTTTTGATTTTCTGCATTCACCTCAAAACTAGATATTTTACATCACCTTTATTTCCATAGGATCCTGTAACGATTTTAAACCATAAGAACACAATAACAAATCATTTCTACTTCGTATTTTCACATTATCAGCACTTTTAAATTGGTGTCAATGGAGTCTACCTTTTTTCGATCTTTTATTTAGTTTTTCGTAACTCTGCAATTTCGGGCTTTGTGAGTGCAGTTGCGCTACCTCTTTTTCCTATATCAATAATATCTCAATTTTCACTTAAATCTTGCCGTTTTTCTATTACAAGCCTAAAGCCAAAATTTGACATGTTTTGACATCGTTGTTTATTTGGTCGCTATGACAATTATATTCAAATTTGCTACCGGTCTGTTGTTTCTATTTCGATAATTCCACATAAATACTCTTTCCTCTTGACCATTTACAAAAAATTTGCGTTTAATTTAAATAATTTTTCCGTTCTCTCTAGAAAGGTATAAAAGCCGAACAATCGGTGAAGTAATTCAGTCTCGCTTCAGTTCTCGAGTTCGAAGCATCTCCTAAAGGCCTTATCCCGGGGCCGCACTGCCCCGGGATCCTGCAAGTCTCTGTCCTGCCTGAAGCCGCTGGACTCTACAAACCTCTGCTCTACCTGAAGTCGCCGGATCCTACAAGCCTTTGCTCTGCCTGAAGTCGCCGGGATCCTACAAGCCTTTGCTCTGCCTGAAGTCGCCGGGATCCTACAAGTCTCTGCTCTGCCTGAAGTCGCCGGATCCTACAAGCCTTTGCTCTGCCTGAAGTCGCCGGGATCCTACAAGCCTTTGCTCTGCCTGAAGTCACCGAGATCCTACAAGTCTCTGCTCTGCCTGGAGTCGCCGAACCTACAAACCTCTGTCCCGCCTGAAGTCACCGGATCCTGCAGGCCTCTGTCCTGTCTGAAGTCGCTGAGGATCCTGCAAGCCCCTGTCTGGCCTGAAATCGCCGGATCCTGCAACCACCACATTCACCTGAGGTCGTCGCCTGGAGACGCCCACGCCTTCTCACCTACGCCGTGCGTGCTCGTTCCAGGCGCTGAGAGCACTTGCTGTACACCTTGGATCTTCAGGCTCAACTTCGACTATAATCTTTTTTTTTTATTACCTTTTTTTTAAATAATTTGTAAATCACGAAATCCATCCTCATCTTCATACTCCATTTTGCTATATAAAATTGTAAATATCTTTTAAATCTTAAATATATTATTTGTTTTTGTTCTATTTTTGTTGTTTTGCTGTTACTAGGTTAGTTCTTTTCTGTTCTTAATTGTCGCTTCACGACAAGGTACCATAGTACCTATGGTATACATTGCGCAAGTTATACTTAATTCTCTATTTCTTTGTTTTAGTGTGTGCCTCTAATAGTTTGTTTTATAAATTACAAACATTTTATACAATGTAAAGCGTCTCCCATACACAAGCGGCTTGCGGTGGAGACTAACCGCGAGCCTCGGCTTCAGCCATTGCAACACACACGCTGGCGGAGCGGCCGGGGAGTGCGGGGGTGAGGGGGTGAGTGGGTGAGGGGGTGCGGGGAGGGGGGGGTGAACACTCACATTGTGAGCGAATACAACTGGCCGCCACCGCAAGCCGCTTCTGTCTGGGACACGCTTAACACTCATTGTGTTATTATTATAGTCACTGCTTGCCTGCTTGAGGAAATCCCTGGTGGTAAGGGGAGTAAAGCCCACTAGTAAATCAGACTGCCTTAGTATAACGAAAGATAGTTCCAACGATCAACTAACTATGTATGTTTTCTTATTAACATTTTAAAGTAATATGTGGATCGTCCCGAATTACTAAAACAGATACCTACGTATTTTGGTAAACAATGACTGTCACAATAATATTGACGATCATCTTCCATTTGCCCCATGTGTAATAAATTCAACTTAATTCATATTCACACAAATGACTTATTTTCTGATTTGTCAACTTATTTGAAAGAAATTGTTAAAGTACAAAATGTAACAAATAATATATATAGATGTCTATGTATATTATTTAAGTGGCATTCCTTGGGGAAGGCCTATGTTCAGCAATGAACTTAACAAGGAAATAATTTGTATATGTATAATATAAAAACTATGTTACTATAACTGCTACTGTTTCTTTTATTTATATCTGTTATTAGAGTTGATACATTTTGCCCTCCTTTATATATATTCTCTAAAGTTATTACTTTTGGTTAGTACACTGTCGGTGTGCCCTTATTAATAAAAAATAAACAAATAAGCACCATTATCTTTTCAATGTATAAAAACAATTACCTAGCGAGTGGTGCTGAGGAGTCCTTGGTGAGGCTCTTGTAAAACTGAGTGTATTCTTCATCTGCCACTTCAGTTGGCTTGCGAGTCCAGATTGGTTTGTTGTCATTCATCAGCTCCCAATCCCAAACTGTTTTCTCTGTCTTCTTAGGCTCACTCTTCTCTTCTGTTGCATCTTCAACCTAATGTATTAAATAATTATGTTATTGTTGTAATAAAAATATTGAAAGCCGTAATTGATTGTTATAAAAAAAACCCTCTGTAAAGGTATTTAGTTACTTTAATTCTCACAACATTTAAATTCTGTTTTTGCCAAATCACTATAACCTCATAGTGGCAGTGTAAGAATATCTACTATCCCATATCGTATGGGTGTCGTAAGAGACGACAGAGGGAAATTGAAACAGAAAGTGTGTAGCAGGATTGTTCTGATAACAACTCAACATTATAAAAAACTGCGGCTGCCAACTCACTAACTAAGCATGGCAACGATGGCAAAATCCCTCTATGAGGTAATCTATGGGGGAAGCCTATGTTCAGAAGTGGACTTTTATTGGCTCTAATTTGATAATGAAATCACTATAAAAGATGTAGAACCATGCTTCAACTATATTATGGTTGTATAACAAATGGGTCAGCACAAGTGAAAAGAATGATGCTCTACAGAATACCATTAGTATTCTGTGAGAGCATCATTATTGTATGTTTACATGGTAAAGCCATACTGCAGCTATATTAGTGGTAGAGGTGTAGTACAAATGGATCGTCTCGACCGGGGAAGGACCAGGCTCTCATAGAACATCAGTGTAAAATAACAGCATAACCCTGCTGTGTTTCATATGGTGTGCTTAGAGAATCGGAGACCCTTTTTTACTGGAAAAGAGGTATTCCATCTGAGTTCTTACGGATGATAATGCATCTGCATTTTGGTTCGTAATCGATGATAGATAGTGTCTATGGGCCACATCATCCACTTACTATCATCAGGTGGACTGTATGCTTGTTTGTCACCCTTATTCTATAAAAACTTAATTCGAAGGTGAATTTAACAAGGTGGAGCAAGCAGCAGTCACCTGTGCATCCTCATCACCGTCCGCGTCATCTGCCTTGTCGTCGAGGTCGGGCTCCTCCACGGTCTCGGTGCGGGAGGCCCACAGGTAGATGGGGAAGTTGATAAACTGAGAGTACTTTTTCACCAGCGATCGGATAGTGTCCGGCTGCAGATAGTCGGCTGCCTCCTCCTTCATGTGCAACCTGCAACACAATTCCATTAATGATGGCATCCATGACTATATGGCACCAGGGTGGCGTCACTTAGGAATAGGGTTTTTTTAATGGAATAAGGTTGACAAACGAGCACACAGTCCACCTAATGGTAAGTGGATGCTATGACCTATAGACAACTACATCTACCCTCACTCCATAAAGAATAAAAGTGCAGATGGGTTGTCGGGCACAAGGCGGCGCGGCGAGTCGCGATCACGCGGCCGCTGTCCGCGCACTGCGGATCATCGCTCACATACTTGCTCAGTGCGGCGATCTTCACTTATTCGCTGATGGATTGAAGAAACTTATTAGTAAATTAAGATATATTCTAACTGACATTGTATAATTTTTTAACCCTGACATTGACATGACATGACTTTATTTACAATTTTATATAATTTAATTTTTTTTTATAGGTGAGGGGGCAAACGAGCATGCGGCTCACCTGATGGTAAGTGACTACCGCCGCCCATGAACAACTGTAACACCAGGAAGGGAATTGCAGATGCGTTGCCGGCCTTTTAAAAAGGAGTACGCTCTTTTCTTGAAGGTCCCTAAGTCCTCCTATTCCACAAGGAAGTCGTGCGAGGAAGAAAACATCTTCTAAATCGCACAGTGGTGGACCGCCAATCATCCAGATGGTGTGGATGGTATCGGGAGTTCTGCCGCGATGTGCATTCGTGAAATTTGGCGGCTGGGATTAATCCGAACAATTCCTCAGAGCACTCCCCATGGTAGATGCGAAAGAAAATGCAAAGAGATGCAACATCTCTTCACAGTGCCAATGAGTCGAGCCGATCGGAAAGGACTCGGTCGTCGACGATTCGAGCCGCTCTGCGCTGGATGCGGTCAAGTGGAAGGAGCTGGCACTGGGGAGCCCCTGCCCAGAGACGGGAACAGTATTCCATGTGAGGCCGAACCTGCGCCTTGTAAAGTTGCAGGCGGTGTGCCGGCATGAAATACTGTCCCGCTCTGCTGAGCACGCCAAGCTTTTTATTATATTAATTTGACTATTTTTGTTTCATTTTAGTTTTTAATTTGTTTAATAAGAGGCAATTATTTTAATTATTTTTATATATATATATATATATATATATATATATATATATATATGTATTTAATTTAATGTGGTTTGCGATGTACTTGAAATTGATTTAATATTAATTTAATGTATATATTTAATGTTACAAGCGTGTTGGATGCTATTATCTGTTAGCTTGTAAGCATGTATCTAATAATAAATAAATAAATGAGAACTGTGATGGAATGCCTCGCTTTCAGTAAAAATTAAACAGGAAGGTGAAATATTTGATAGATATCATCGCAGGAGAAGTTAATTTGTTAGTAAATGCAAAAATTAATGTTAATATCTGAATTTTACACCAATTACATTATAAAGGAATAAAATAAAGTATGCGTATTTCTAAAAAGAGAAATTTTAAAGAGTTAAAAAGTGTGCAATAAATTAAATAGCAAGCCACAGAGGCATTGTTTTTTAGATTTACATATTTTAGAAACCAATTAAGGTATATTTTAAACACAACTTTTCAATTATAAGGACATTGGGTAACAAATAACTTCACCTTAGTTCTAAGTAGCCATATCTGGTGAATGGAAGATTATTACCCTTATTAACACGCCACCGACTCTCATCAGCTCATAATTCATTGATAGACATGGACGCTCCTACATGAGCAAGGATTGGATATCGCCAACTTCACAGATCAGTTACACAATTTTAGATATTGTAAGTCATCAGTCTTAGTCATCGTCGATGATAGATATCAAATGATTATTATATTAGAGATGCAGGAAGTCGATGAACACAGGCTTGAGTTCTATATAGTATATGATAATGAAGAGGATGGTAGTCCTGGGCACATATTTAGGTGTTCATTTACCACATGTTAAAGAAAACATGGTGAAGAAACCAGCGTATCTGAGGAATAAAAATACTTTAAAGATTTTTTTTTTTATATTCTATAAAAAGTGTGATAAACGAGTTTTGTAATCGTGTTTTCAAAGGTAAGTGGCCACTGAAGCCCAAATACAGCTGCCTTGTTCATGTGTGGAAGTAGGGGCGTGGCACAAGGCAGTAAGGCAGTACGGCAGTAAGGCAGTAAGGCACTCACGTGATGTGCGTGCCTCGCCGGAGCGTGTCGCCACGCGGGTCCTCGGCCACGCTGAAGGCGCTGGCGTCGGACTCCCACACGTGCTGCGAGTCGTTGTTGTGCTTCGACACCACCGTCACCTTGTCCGCCACCAGGAACGCCGAGTAGAAGCCCACGCCGAACTGGCCGATCATGTCGTTCATCTCCTGCGCGTCCGTCTGCAACAAACCGCCACACAATTACTTAGCAAAATAACAAACTTTTTTATTATTCACAAGAAAGGGCTTTGCCGCTGATGCGTTTATGATACCCTGGTTTTAAATCAAATATACCTATGTATAACAAATAGTACAGCAAAAAATCTTAAATAATATAATTACTTAATCTCTTATTACTAACAAATAAAGTTTTATGGCATCAATCTTTTTTTATAGAATGAGGGTGATATACGAGCAGACAGTCCACCTAATGGTAAGTGGATGCTGTGGCCCACATACATCCACATTTATCCTCAATTAAGAATTATAATGTAGATGCATTGTCACCCCTGCGGTCAAGATTCTCTACACTCACCATACGAAACGGTACTCTGTGAAAGCGTGGTGTCCGACCCCAGTTGCGTCGACCCATTCGTACTACAACCATGATATAACTGCAGCATGGCTCTACTACATATAATGGGTAATCATCTGATACCTCATGTGTGATAAAATACTTTTACAACTACCAATCAAGGACAAATGTAAATTACAATTTTTTTTTCTTTGGAATTCTGGGCACATTCTGTCAAAACGTAATTAAACATAATCGATAACATTACAAATTGAACAATTTGGTGATAGTTTTTCGCATTAAGTACTAGGTCAGGCAAACAGTTTCTTCTTTCTTTTATATACAAATTCGAAGCATTTTTTTTTCAAATTTTTAATTATATTTATTTATAATACACACATATATCCATTTTGTTCGATAACTTGTTGCCATCTTGTAGGTAGTGACATAATCCCGTTTCTGTACAAATTATGGGATTTTTGATCAAAACAATGTGGCAAGTAGTTTTGACAGTGCTCTCTTGATGTTAACTTAACACTACCCAAAGAATACTGAAGCGACCAAAACATGTGAAAATCTGAGGGTGCAAGATCTGGACTATATGGTGGATGCATTAACACTTCCCAACCAAGCTCTCTCAATTTTTGCCGAGTGGCCAAATATGTGTGTGGTCTGGCGTTATCATGATGAAAAACCACTCCTTTTATATTGATCAATTTCGGCCATTTTCTCAATTTCTTACTTCAGTCTTATTAGTTGTTTGCAGTATAGATTCGAATCGATGGTTTTTCCAATTAGATAGACAATTTTCAATTCCAATCGCACCTTACACACAGCATCACCTTATTGTGCATGTTAATCCGGGTTTCGCTACAGCCTGTGGAGCTTGACTACTCTTTGACCATGATCTTTTTCGCATGTTCTTGTCGTAGGTGATCGACTTTTTATCACCAGTGATCAATCTTTTCAAAAATGGTTCTGTTTCATTACGTTTCAAGAGAAAATCGCAAATCGCTCGTGTGGTAAAATCCCAAATATCAAGACTTTTTGTATAGCCAGAACTTTTCAAATGGGTCAAAACTATTTTGTGTTAAGTTATCAATTCCTCGGCTATGTCGTCACCACTAATATGCCGATCTTGCTCCACTTTTACAAAATGGCATCGACTTCATCCTTATGAGGGCTACCAGAGAGAGCTGCATTTTTGACATCAAAATTCCCAGGCTGAAAATGCTTAAACCAACTTTGTGCAGCTCTTACTGACACTGCATTAGGTCCATAAATTCTTTTAAATACATTTTAGCGGGTATTATTAGTTTCATTATCTCTCTATGCAACAAACTGCCTGTTGACCTCAACAGGCAGTTTCTTGCAAAGAGAGATGGAAGTAACTTTACAAATAAAATGAATCGAAAGCTGCAATAATATCTTCCTCGACACTTTGTCTCCATGTTTCGCGTGATGTATTCCAACTTTAGAACGCCGACGAAATGTGTCAGCTCATACATATATGAAGACGATATCAGCATATTCTTCATTAGTAAAAGCAGCCATAGTTGATCGATCACACAAATAGTCGGAGAAAAAAATATAAATAAATAAATAATATAAATCTGTATAAAAATGAAAATATTCGTCCGCAATTTGTTTTGTACACTCTAATTCCACGAGTTGATGAGGCTTCAGGCTTTGCACCCATCTTTTAAACAGCTTGTATACTGTGCATATATATACATATGACTGAGTAAACAAAGGATATGCAGCGAGCATCGCAAAAGACCTAACTGACATCCACTCAGATATTTATATTACCTTATGCTCGCAACTATAGCTTACCCTGTAATATGTTTGTCTGGCCAGATGTTAAAACTGTCGAAACTGTCTGGCTACTGAGGAAACATCTTCTAATAGTTACCCCAGTAAAATGTATAAAATTCAGCTTTAATACTACTATAACATAAGTATAATTACAATTTATTAAAGTTTAAGGGTGTCTGGCAAGGGGTTGCCACGATACTAAGCGTCTGACAACGGATGATGTGAGCTCTAATATTATTCCAAAAATAATATGAGAAAATTACGCTTTATGCTCTGACAAATTTAAGTTGCTATTTTATACACCTTTGCTACCTGTTACCTGCTAAAGCATTTATGAGATCTTGCTCTATAATAATAATAATATAGTGGATTATCGCAAGACAACGCCAAATTCTATTACTTTAATTAATTATTTTGTATATAATCCAAATCATTTAGATATTTGTTTCTATGAATAGTATTTGTAGTTACCTTCTCAGCATCTTGCATCTTGGAAAGGAAGTCAGCAGTACCAGACTTGGCAATAGTTCCGAGATTGTTGACAAGTTCATTGCGCGTCATGCCCACGCCGGAGTCTATGATGTGCAGAAGCCGCTTCTCAGGATCTGCTTTGATGCGAATGCTGAGGTCCGGGTTCACATCCAACACGTTGCGGTCAGTGAGCGACATAAGACGGATCTTGTCCAGCGCGTCTGATCCGTTTGAAATCAGTTCTCGTAAGAATATCTGTAACGGAAGACGTTAAGATATAGAAAGCATTCAATGTATATTAATCAATACGCACAAATAGACGCGTTATAAATTTTCTTATGGCTTTAACGTGGACTTTCATAGTCGATGGCTTTACTGCACCAACATACATATTTGAAAGGATGAAAAAAGTTTGATTTGTCATTTCATAATTTTCCTCCATCATTTTACTCAAAGTTCCTGCAAAATACTAATAGACATTTCCTTGACCTCTGGGCATAGTATATCGCCGATCAAGGAAGCGCCAAAGAAGAAAGTTCCATAAATAGTGTTGTTATTTTATATTTTTACGTTAAGGTCAGGTTGCTATGGGTCAATGTACTTAATTTTAAGTCATTGATGCCCGAAATTTCGATATTGCATTGTATTATATTGTATTCTACTCAAAAGTCAGTGGCCTATTTTAAAATGTTATTTGTATGCAGTAAACATAATATCCAGTGAAGTGTACAACGAACCTCTTTATTCCTGTACAGAGAGTTTATGATGAGCTTCATCATTCGATTGACCTCGGTCTGGAAGGTGAAGTTCTGTGCGCGCTCGCGCAGTTCCCGCATCTGCGCCACGCTCAAGCCATCCGGCGAGATGGCCTCCTCCTCGCGGAGCACCGCTTCCGCATCTGACGACACATTAATGGATGGTTAAGATTTACAATTGGACCTGGAAGGTGGCGCTATTGTCGAAATCTAGAAATCACCTGTGGTAAGCTGGGGCTGATTGCTAGTTTTATTACAAAATATACTATTAATTTTGTACCGTAAAAAGAAAAATTACCATAACTTGGTTAAAGAGGAACAGGGCAGCAACTACCAGGGCAGGTTATAACTACTCATTAAGTAAGACATCAGAGTTTGGAACACAGGCACGTGATCAATATTTGCATTTCGAACAAAACCTTGTCAATATATGAAATTGATCAAAAGGCTGTAAATATGAACTGATGTAAAACTAAGACAAAAGTATGTTACAACGAATATAGTTAAGTTAGGACTACCTAAGATAGATTTAATTGCACCTCATCTTGCTATTATTTTTAATGCTAGTATCGAATCTGGTGTTTTCTGATTTAATGAAACATAGTAAAGTAATAATACCTTATTTAAATCTGGTAGTACATTGGACCCCTCTAATTTTAGATCCATTTCTGTATTACCAACTCTCAGTAAAATGTTTGAAAAGATAATTTTAGATCAATTGTTAATTTTTTTTTTAATAAAAATAAATTACTCCATAAAAATCAATTAGGTTTCACAAGGGGTCGCTCGACGACTGACGCGGGTGTCGAGCTTATGAATTATATTGCCTGGGAGAGTTTGCAAAATGCCTTAGGTATTTTTTTGTGATCTTTTCAAATCTTTCGATTGTGTTCATCATGAGATATTAATCAGGTTATAATATTATGTTAATACAACATTACGGTGTCAAAAATATTGCGCATAGACTTATTATTTCATATTTAAATAACAGAACTCAAAAAGTCGTTATCAATGGTAAAGATTCCTCGTAGTATCAATGGGTGTTCCTCAGTGCTCGATTCTTGGCCCATTCCTGTTCTTAGTCAATATGACTTACCTACCGTATCTTGTAGGGGACAATCACGATATAGTATCATTTGCTGATGATACCTCTTTAATTTTCTAACTCAAACGACAGTCAATTAATTTTGATAATGTAAATAATGCTTTATCGAAATTAGTACATTGGTTTAACGCCAAAAATTTGCTCTTAAACGGCAAAAAGACAAAATTATATTATCAAACTAGCTGTTCCCCGCGACTTCGTTCGCGTGTTAGGGTTTTTATGTTTCTGCGCGGAACCCTGATTCTTTTTCTAAAATAAAAGTAGCCTAAGTTACTCCTTATGAAATCAGCTATCTGCCAGTGAAAGTCCCATCAAAATCGGTATAGCCGTTTCGGAGATTACCCGGAACAAACAGACAGACAGACAGACAGACAGACAGACAGACAAAAATTTTAAAAATTGTATTTTAGTTATAGGTATCGTATTTACTTTCATATGCATTTAGTAAAAAACTGTAATTTTGACATTACAAACAGACACTTCAATTTTATTTATTTGTATAGATTTACAATACCTAATGTTAAACATTCAAATACCATGTGCTCTTAAATGGGGAAGAGTTGAGTCTAGTAGATACCACTGTTTCTCTTGGTATTACTATTGACGCGAAGCTTCCATGGGGCCCTATATATATGAATTAGCAGGCAGACTTAGTTCTGCAGCATATGCTGTAAGAAAGATTAGAAGTCTCACCAATGTTGAGACAGCTAGATTAGTTTATTTTAGTTACTTTCATAGCGTTATGACTTATGGAATTTTGTTATGGAGTAATGCGACTGACCTCGAAGTCATATTTGTTTTGCAAAAGAGAGCCGTATAGGCGATTTATAACTTAAATTGTAATGAGTCCCTTAGAGAAAATATTTAAAGAAATAAACATATTAACTTTGGCTTCGCAATATATTTATGAAAATGTAATGTATGTATATTAAATCATAAATAGCTTTGATAAGAATAAAGTTGTTCATATTTTAAACACTAGGAACGAACATAAGCTTGTAATACCAGTTACTGGACTCTACATAATTAGTAATTCATTTATGGGGCAATGTATACGCTTTTACAACAAAATCCCAGAAAATGTACAAAAAGGGTCATTATAATATCAAAGAATACATACTAAATGAAAAAAAAAACCCTGGGAATGAGGTGATCGCTACCATGCTGGTTCTATTAAACCTCATTTAAAATTTGTATGAACAAAATTATTGTAAAGTGAAATATGTTTTAAAAAAAGTCCTGCTGGGTTTCATGTCGGTTCTTCCCAGGACAGAGGTATTTTCCGAATCAGTGGTAAATAAAAAAAAATATATTGAATAAAAATTATTTTATTATAAACTGAATCAAGTTTTCTGTGGAAAACGACTACGCAATTCATATCGAAACATTTACCGTCACCTTGACAACGCATCGATCTAATCCCTGGGAAGGTAATTGACGAGTAATAGAAGTGACAAGAAAATGGAGTCGGTAGAAGAACATAGTGTAGAGACAGCAACGGCTGTCAAGAATACGACAGAACCTCAGAGGCAGACCCTCCCAACGCGCTCTTTCAAGCTACGATTTGCCGCCCAGCACGAGCTGGGGCGTTCCAATCTATCCGCCATCAGACCGCTCACATTGCGTGCGTTATTATATCACTCTAGTAGATTAGCCGCTTTTCTAACCGATTCTCTAATATACACAAAAATTTTAACAAGCTGTAAATTAAGATTTGTCACTGTCATGGCTCACTCAGACATTGCAAAACTCTAAAGTACGAAAATGTGTTAATTTTATGCGTCATTTAAATCGGACATTATACTCGATAATATTCTCCTTTGCACTTAAAACGCATATTAATTGCACAGTGTGTGTTCATTAGGGCAAATTCATTAAGCTTTTTCATGTGTAACTCGTATGTAACATGATATATCCGTCAATTGTGAACAGATTTTAATGATCCTTTTTTATTATGCAGTTTACATACTTCTGGAACGGACCCACACAAATTTGAAGACTAAACGTGGTAGAGTCACGCTGCAGCTATATTATGATTGTAGCACGAATGGATCGGCTCGAACGGAGTAGGACCACACTCTTACAGAATAACAGCGTATATACCGGCGTAAAATAGTAGTTTAAAGCTGCTGTTTCGTATGGTGATTGTATTGAACCGGAGACCTTTTTTACTGGAAAAAGGCATTCGATTCAACATAACTTATGTGTCATGTTGAAATTATATTTTTTTTTTAGTTTTTTGTAGACTTCCTTTTTACGAAATATTCCAACTTCTAGTTGGGTGAACGCTGTATTAAGTATCAGTTGGATGGACGGTTAAAATATTATGACGACGATGGAGCAGCTCAAAGTAAAAGTCGCTAGTGTAGGTATTAGGATAATGTAAGTGACACTGATGTTCATTAAGCGTTCAATTTCAGCGGTGCCTTTGGCGGACAAGTTCTACGCGCGTGTGCAGAAGGAGGCGGGCGACGAGGCGGCTATAGAGCGCGCGCTACAAACTGTGCGCGAGCGCTTCGCTCGCGGTCCGCGGGAACTCTACCCCCACCCAGTCACCAGCGCGCACGAGTCCGTACATATTTATGTTCAGTATTAGTTAGTGAAATAGCATCGGTATTATATACAGATACCAAATCAAATTGTTTCATATGAATATATTGGGTAACGTCATAAGTAATGTTAAAAGAAAGACTTCTATGTATACTACAAGTAGGGCTCTGCGGCTTTAATACATTGCACGCAAAGTTATGGTCAATTCTCATTATATATTTTAGTGGACTGCGAGCACGTGAGAAGACTAGTTGTTTGTTTTGTAAACCGCGAACGTTGTTTTCAACAATCCAACACAGATTTTGTTTAATGGGATTAACGAAAACGTTAAAACGTGATTTGAAGTTTTTTTTTTCTTATTTGCCTAAAAACAATAAATTCCGTAAATGAATATACAACCACCATGTTTGCATTGCTTTACCGTGCCAGCTACCCGCCCAGTACCCGGCCTGCATCGCGCGCGTGATCCACAGCTGTGACAGTTTTTGTTCAGATTTACCGGTCTAGTAGTATACATACAAGTTTTTGATTAAAAGAGATCAATGTGTCGGTAAAGCAGCACACTACACGTGGGCGCAGGTACGGCTGGTGGAGCGAGCGGGCGGGCGGGGCGGGCGGGGCGCCCTGGGCGCGGCACCACATACGCGACTCGGCCTGGCTGCGCGAACGTCTACGTCTGCTCGCGCCCGACGCGGCCTACAAGCGCTAGTCGCACCAGTACCACTTCGCTGCAGCTAAACAGCTCACCATAACTGGCTGGGCTTGGACCTTACCCACACTACAGGGGATTTATCTTAATATATTGATTTGCAAAGTTTCAAGTTTCTAAAATGTATCTTACAAACACATTCAAAAATAAATGTAAAGCAATTTCCATAGTGCGATTCAAACTATAAGTAAAATAAAACTATAAAAAATTATCACAAATGAAGTTGTAATCAATCTTTAATTGTAATTTGTATTTTCAAACCCCAAAGACATTAAAATGTTGCACCTCGATTATAAGTGTACATTTTAAAGCTTTACTTAATAACTGAATATTCTTAGCTATAGTAAGTCTTGTTACTGTTGTCGTTTCTCAGTTACTTTATTTCATACATTCAAAAACAACATTGTTAAACATTCACAGGAAATTATATTCATATTACATATCTATTCCTAAAACATCTACTATGAATTCTATTAAACACACTAATCTCTAACTAAACCTTGAAAGATATACCTTTAAAATTTTTTTTCTTATCACTTGATAAAACTTAAATTCTTTTTCCATTTACATGTATAATTAAAGGGCAATAAAAATACATTACAATATACCTCAAAACAAAAGTTTACAACCAGTATGTTGTATGGGTTGAACAAAACCAATATGTGGTCTTTTCTTGCTGGCCGCGTAAGCAAGCTCAAAGACACTTAAATCTACACAATAAATCTGTAATAAATCATCTACAGATGCATTGTGAGTTGTCACTTCTGTGGGCTAAGATT